TTATTATTAGATATAGCCTAAAGATATAAATACAAAGTTGGTCTCATAATAGTATTAAGATATTGCAGTATTAAAATGTAAATATTTACAGGAGAGAGTACTTTAGCCCACAAAATATGGTAATCAATGAATTAAAATAAATATAAATAGGGATTTCCGATATTAATATTAGTATTAATATTAATATTAGGGTATCAATTAAATTTAGATATCCCGATATCTATAGATGAAGATTTTACTCTGTATTATATTTTTATAAAAAAAACATTTAAATAAAAAAAATATAGTATTCCGATATCTAATTAGTAGTGTCAAAAAAAAAATACATACTTTGGGATTTTAAATTAATAATTTACCAGATCTAATCTATTTGATTTTGCAGAGATTGTATCTCATTGCTACCAATTCTGTTTGCTCTTCCAAAAATTAATATTTAATTTTAGGGTATATGTATCCAGATTGCTTAATTGTCACACATTACACTGTATTAAAAAAAGATTTATAGATTGCTTTTTTATATTATGATTCATGTGACAATTAAGCAATTTTTAACCCCGGTAGGTTCCATTATAAATTTCAGGGTTTGGAAGCAATGTGATTATAAATTTAAAGCCCTGAAGTATAATTTTTTCCTTGGCAAATATATATATGATGACATTACATGCTTTGTTTTGATATATTAATTTTTTTCATACCTATCGCTATATAAGAGAACAAAAAATAATTAATTCTGGTGTATACTTTTTTTTTCTCTTTCTTTACTTCCTTTAAAGGTAATAAAAAAAATACAAATTCATATTTTTATTCATCAAAATAAGTAGTACACTTATCATATTACTTTAAACACATCTTTTTGTAGCCAATACTGCTATATAATGCTTCCAATATGAGTTCTTTATATTATTCGAATATTTCTCTCAGAAATGATACTGCAAACAATACTGCAGATAAAGATAACAATATTGATATTTTTGGTATTTAGTGATATTACATATCGGATAAAGATTTGTAGTACATATGCATGTTAAGTATACCCTATAAGATACAGATATCAATATCAGGTTTAATATCTATTGGTTTTTTTTATCATACAGTTTGATATTTTTTTTTGTAGATGAAATAAAGGCAATAAGGACTAATATTAAAAACCTCAGTGAAAAAATCGACAATTTTATAAAAAGTACATATGGAAAAAGGGTATATAGAAAAAAGGCTTATTCGGTAACTTCTGATAGCAACAATAGCAACAAAGCAGCAGTAATAGCAGCAACGACAACAGCAATGACAGTAGCAATGACAGCAGCAATGATAGCAACAACAATAGCAGCATAAACAATAGCAGCAACAATAGCAGAAACTATAGTAGCAAAAACTATAGCAGCAGAAACTGCAGCAGCAGAAATAACTGAAACAAACAAGGTGACAAAAAAGCCTCTAAAAAAAGATCCCGATCACTTTCCCTCTAAACAAAAAAGTATTAAGAGTATAATGACATTAATAATTATCCGTATTTCATTTGTATTTAGATATTTTTTCATATTGCTTTAATACTAGTTAATTTTTATTAAAGTGAACTATATAGATATCAGGTGCTTTTATTTATTGATTAATTTAAATTTATTATAATAGAATGACATTAAGATTTCATTTTCTGGATTAGAAGAATCTGAAAAACCTGATCCATCCCAAGTTTGGTCAAAATTCAAGCAGAAATTCCTCAAAAATTCCTTTAAAATAGTGAAACGTGACGTAAGAAGGTACCAGGTAGAAGATTATCAAATACTTAAAATTATTAGAGAACACTACTAGCATCAATGTGAAAAGCACTTAAGAAAACAAGACTCTGATAGAAATATGCAATCACTTGCAAAAAACTAGGAAAATCAAAGAATGATTGCAGTAAGAATTTTTTTTTTTTATATCAACATTTTGCTTATATAACTATTAGTAAAATTTTAATTATGCTTCTTATAAAATTAACCGTCAAAAAAAGATGTTCACCTATTTACAAAAAACAAATAGTATGCATCTCACAAATCTCTTCCCTCTTGATGTACCAGAGCAACAGGCTCTAAATGACTTAAAAAAACAATGAGAAAAAGCAAATACCACAGTAATAAGGTATCTGAAATAGATACTGAACTGGCTGAATAAGAAGAAAGGCAAAACATTCGTTCTGAAATTGAACCTGAAAGATATAGCCACGTTGTAAAGATTGTGAAAAAAAATAGTGATCAGAAACTGTAATTATTACAATAGATAATCATATAAATATAGATATCGGTACTAATATATTTTAATATACTTTTAGTTGAAAAAAAATTTGTTGCTGTGCGAAAAACTGCTATAGAACAAAATCAAAATAAGTTAAAAAGAAATCAGTGAAAAAGTGATAAAGTCACAAATAATTCTACACCACTAGCTAGAGCTCCTAGTTGGTGTATTTTACCTTTAATCTCTGATACAACCTTCCACATCATGTCTTGTAGTTCTCCTGGTAGCTCTACTGGTGCTGGTAGTACTACTATTGCTGGTCTCCCCAATGCAGGTCTATGTGGTTTCTTCGCTACAAGTCCTGCTCATGCTCCTGCTACAAGTCTTGCTTGTACTCCGCTACAAGTCCTGCTCGTAACCCTGCTTCAAGTCTTGCTCATGCCTCACTACAAGTCCTAGTTGTGTCCCTACCACAAGTCCTAGTTGTGTCTTTGCCACAAGTACTGGTTGTGCCCCTACTACAAGTACTGATTATGCCTCACCACAAGTTCTGGTTGTGGCTCTGCCACAAGTACTGGTCATACCCCGATACCTGTCATAATAAAAGTACTGCTGATATATATTCTGGTAGAATCCTTACTGGTAATATTCTTACTGAAGAACCTAGTGATGCTCCTGATATCATTACCGGTAAAATTTCTAATGTTTCTAATGTGTTATTTATAACTTTTTATTAAAATTTTTGTAATATTTCATTCATTTAATCTCTGAAGATAATACAACAGTTATTAATAATGATAATAATAATATTATTATTATTAAAACAAGAGACAAAGGTAAATCCGTTAGTAGAGATAATTACGAATCGGGTAATGTATTTGCTAATTTTTATATAACTGCTATTATAGTTCTGATCTAAAACTTATTTTTTTAATCTTATTATTGAAAATTTAGAATTTATGCTGATATGCAAGGTATTATTTAATAAATTGGTATTATTTTTAATTAATTCACAATATATTAATTATTATTTTAT